CTGTTCCATCGGTCTGTCATTTTGTTGTCGGTCTGTGGGCCTGTCGGTCAGCCGTCTGTCAGTCTGCAGAACTTTCTGACTGTCTGCTGGTCCAGCGGTCCAGCGGTCTGTCGGTCTGTTGCTCCGTCGGTCGGTTTGTTGGTCCAGCGGTCTGTCGGTCCGTCGGCGGAGGACGGATCGCCGCCCTGCGAGCCGTGCGATCGATGTGTGTCGTGTGCTGCGCTCCGGCGGCGGCCGCGCCCGACCGGCTCCGATCGTAGGATGGCGTGACGGCCGCGGATGGATGACCGCGGCTCTCCAGCCCCGGGCTCGACTAGGGTCGCTCGTCTCCAGCCCCAGGCTCAGCGCACTTCTCCAGCTTCGGGCTCGACGAGATGGTTGCTCGTTTCCAGCCCCGAGCTCGACGATATGGTTGCTCGTCTCCAGCCCTGCAGGCTCGCCGAGCTGGTCGCCTGAGGATGCGAGCTGCCGCTCATGAACTAGCTTCACGAGCAAGTCGAGCCGAGCTTAGGACGGCCTCGAACGATTATGAAAGGCAGTCCAGACTGATGAGCTCAGTCGGTTAGCTGATGCAGCCTCCAGAGGCCAGATGTCTCGGATTTCTATACAATGACGAAGATGGTACAGCTCAGAGGAAAGGCGATCCTTTAAACCTTCATCTTTCGCGGAACTTTATTCAGATGAGGTCAACTCAGCAACTTTAATATCATCGAGTTCCCTCTTGACCTTGTCCTCAATGGTGTTGGAGATTGAAGAGCCTGTGTCTGTCTGCCGTCTAGTTCCGTGTCCTTCGGGCTGATGTCAGCACCGCGGCGAAAAGTCGTCGTCAGCGCCCCGCTGATGAATAATTTGGCCCGTCACTCCGCGCTCGCCTGGCGCCTAGTCAGCAGCTGCGTTTTGCTGACGCCGTGACTTCTGAACTTGACTCAGTGAGTGTTGAGTTTCGGGATGATAATCAATGTTTAAATGAAGCGTACCTTGTCAATGTGTATGTCCTCACTTGTTGCTGGGGATGACAACGCTGTCAAAGTCTCTGCTTTGGCTATTTCCCAAAATTCTACCCGTCACCATGCGTTGCGTCCTCGCCAGAGGTCATCCAACCTACCACACCGCTGCCCTATTTTTGCGCTGCGCCCTGCGGTCGGCGGAGGGTGTCCCAGTTCCGCCGGGCCGCTCGGCCCCGGGTCGATGGGTCACGCCTGGATTATATCGACCTCGGGGGCGGCACGGTCGTTCACGGCCGCCGCCCATCACGGGCTTCGTCAGACACGGCTCACAACGTCCTCCCGCCGGGAGGTGATTTGCGCTAGCGGAAGCAGCGCCAGCACGGCTCGATGCCTGCCCGATGGATGTTTTGATTATATCGAGAGGCCCAGCATGGTGGGTGAGCTCATTCGATTAAACAGCCCAGTGGTCTGATGGGCTGATGACGTGATCTGGGCAGGGGATTGGTGCCGTCCGGGCTACTCATGTAGGCTAATGATTTGCGGTCGGCATGATGCTTGGCGCTCATGGCTGCAGGTGTTCGTGGTTAGGATCGAACGTCAGATACGTCAGTTACGGTTGTCTACGAAAGTTCTTGATCGTGGTGAGAATTCTGACTAAGGTCTTCCTTCATCACAGGAGTTCGGTTCTGTGACGTTTCAAGATTTATGGCGTCATTACGCTGTCCAGTTTCTCGGAGGCCGTTTTCGAGCTTGCGAAGTTTTTGTGTGGTGTGTCGCTGTCAGTTCTCATAAATAATTTGAACACAATTGTTCCTTACTTTGTTTTATCAAAATCCCTGCTTTTGGATGTTTTTGTCAATTGGGCTCTTGAATGCTTAATTTTTCAAATGTTTTATGCGACAGTACCGATTGGCTCAAATTTTTATTAATGTTATTTTTCGCCGAAATAATGATGCTTCGACGTCCCCCCTCTACCTGGTGTCGTCAGGCGACGTAACGACTTCATTATACGTTCGAGTACCTACATCTTTCTTTGCCAGGACTCGCACCTTCTACTTTGTCGTTGTGCCCCCAAGTCCTCATAAATGATTTAGAGGACCCATGGTTATTTGTGTAACTGTAACACCTTGTATACTCAGAAATGTCGGCCACCATCTTGGCTGGTTACCATGGCGGATCTACCGGTGTGTTGCCAGGCTACACTATACCCGTGGACGGGGACCTTGTTGCCACCTCAACGAATGGTAACTCGCCTTTTCATGCTTGTCCCAGTGCCTATTGATGCTATTGATGGGTCTGTTAACAGCTTCGGCATTACTTTGGAGAAGCGTTCGGCGTAAATCCAATTCAGAAGTGCTCTTCATTTAGCTGCGTGTATAATGTATTGCGATTTGCGGTGTTCCAGTAAGATGAATGTTGAATGTCAAGTGGCTACTCACAGGTGGCATGCTAGCTGCTTCCAACTCTCATTAACATTTCCACTCCAATTTAGAAACGGCGAAGTCCTGCATCTGAGGTAGCTACCCAAACCAGACGCGTTTACAGCGCTTTCTCCGTCCTGAGACCCCAGTTAATGCATTTCACATGGTCACAGGAGGGAACGACGAATGATCTGTCGAATGGGTGCCCGAAGTACCGGAACCCCTGGTGTGACCAGATAGGTCACAGCGGGACACCGCTGGCTCTCTGCTGGACAGGGGAAATGAGAAGCCATTGGCTCGCTCTGCTTGAAATATGCTTCTAAGTTCTGTTGGACCGTGAAATGGCGTGGCCTGAATATATTATTTATCCGTATAAGGCAATATATGTTGGTGACTACATGCCACTGAAAACCCGCACTTTTATGTGTTTCATAAGTTGCATGCATTAACGCCATTTATTCGTGGTCTCAGACCTCAGTTGCTTTGCCTGACATGGATTTCATTTCTTTGAACTTGGGACATGATGTTATCTGGTTAGGTAGCTGCACCGTCACACCAGCACACGAGATTCACTCAGGTCACCGACCTGCCCTTCGGCCAGCTGCGGGGTACCCCGGACCCACAGCTGTGTGACGTGGACAGGGCGCTCCCGACTAAGGTGGTCATTATACCCGACTGGGGTGACCCACTTTGGCCTGGCGCAGGACCAACAAACGCCCCGCTGCCAGGCTAGCCGTTAGGTGTTGTCTGTTTTGTAGCGAGGCGTTTTTGTCTTTGTCGCTTGTCTTTGGCGTCAGTTGCAGTAATGGGTCTACAAGTGCCAAGACTTGCGTTGAAAATGAGAATGGCCCCGCGTGACAGTGACCCCAGGTCGTTGCCATCTGTTCGTAAACCGTCATACACGGTTCGCTTTACTAGCACCGCTCGATGGTTGCTCGGTGCAACTCGCGCCTGAATCGCCCACACATGCTTCCTTTGAGTCCAAGTCACGGTTTGCACGTGTCGTGACTGTCGTCACGCTTCCTCGGTCTGTTGTGAAGTGACTTGCCGACGAGCCTCGATGAAGGCAAGTTACGCCGCAGCAGGCGACATCAACATCCGCGATCGGCACTACCGTCGTACGGCACAGCTTTGGATGACTGCAGGATCCTCATGGATCCTGCAGTCATCCAAAGTTGCATAAGCCTCTGATTATCCGTTGGATCCGTGCAACCCCGTCTTTAGACTAGACCCGACGTCCTCTCGGACTCCACAAAATGATAATCCTCAGAAGCGAACGTCTTGAATCCGAGGAACATGGGCCCGCTCTCGCTCACCATGCCTTTTCTGGGTCTCTGATGCCGAACCGGGCTCGAACCAAGCACGACTGCATCATGTGACCGATATGGCCCACACAGCCTCTGTTTGTGACCGCCCCCCCCCCCGAACACGTCACACATACCTGGGATCAGGTCGGTCGGTGTCGGTATCGACCACCCGATCGACGGCACGGCCATCTTGGTTGGCCTCATCATTACTAATGCAGGAGGAAGCCTCACCAGCTCAGCCGGCTTCCAGAATGGTGCTGGAATTGCTGATCAGATGGGCGACCGCAAAGGTTTGAATGGCATGCCGACTGTTCTTCACGGAGCTAGGATAGGCGACTGGCGACAGACTTTGTGTTCACTGTTCTGTGTGCGAGTTGCGACCGACACTTGCCAGCTGGAAAGGTTACGCAATCGCAGAGCGTGGTCGAACCGGTGGAGGCTGAATGCGGTTTGGCGTGTCGCGTGACTGGATTTTGCGACGTGTTCCCACTGGATGGTGTCGCAATAGGTATTTGTGAGCGCCAGACTCGATTTCCGATAGCTATTTGATCGATTTCAGTGCAGGCGTTTGGGTGTGGAGGCAGTCTGTTTTCGCCAGTGTAGACCTCAATGTGGTCGGAAGCTCCAACCGACCGTCAGTGATATGATAGGGAATAGGGATGTTGTTTTCAACAGCCTGGCGATTAGTTCTGCCCTCCTGTTTTGGTCTTCCTTGGACCGTGTGACCTGGTGAACCGCTTGATTTGGTAGAAGCCGATCAATATTAAGGTAGAAAGCTCAAGTCTGTCCCGTTTTAAGTGAAGCGTTGCTATTGCCTCGGCTGCTTGAAGCGTGTATTTACGGGTGAAAACGATCGTAGACACAGTATACACCACCATCTTAGTGCTATACGTGCTGTTTCATGTTTGACCTCTAACTGGCTTCATGGATCGTTTCTCCATCTGTTTACTGTTGGGTGGACACGAAATATATCCCCAGCCATGCAACACTGCTATCAACGGACTGGAAATGTGATCAGGGCTCTGTATAAACTTCGTTTGCCGACCTTCAACGCCACCTTCACGCTCTGTTGGCTCTCCCAATCTAGCAAATCATGAGCAATCAAAGCAGTACTTGACGTATCAGGTAAATATCCTTATAATAGCTTGTTGTCTCGAAATCTTAATTGCCTTATTACTGGGCCGTTCATTTGATCTCTCATGGCATGATGACAAACGCCTCCCTAAACTCGTGTTTCTTTTGTGCTCGTGATTCGTGAGTGACTCGCTCGCTCCTCGATGCATATGACTGTCGTCGCTGACCTGTGTCTTCTCCCCCTGTTGCAGACCGGAGCCGTCTGCGGCGGAGAGGGCCGCCTCCCGAGTGCGCGTCACCTACTTCGAGAGCAAGAAGCCGCTGACGGTGCCGGCAGTGGAGGCGGGTGACACTTCCACACCCGAGGAGTCGGACGTGTCGGCGCCGGACGCGCTGCCGCAGGCCTCACCGGACGTCCCGGCGCACACCCAGGTCACCGCCTCCACCGGCGAGATGCCGACCACCTACATCGTCCAGACGTGAGTACAGGGGTGGGGCTTCTGAAAGTGGTCCGACTCAGCATAAGCGTAACTTTATATCTCTTTGTGGGTGCTCAAGCACCCCCAATCCTGAGCTCAGCACCCCCTGCCTTCTTAAAGCACCCCCAGCCTCCTCAAAACATTCCCAGCTGACTCAAGGCCCTCAATAATCAGAATGTCCATCTCCTAGTACTGTAATGAGCCCAGTGAATCATGCAAATACTATGCTTACTCAATTCAGTGACTAAGAGAATATACATTGAATAAATCACCACAAATTAAGATGCATGATATTTGTGTTAACATTACATCTGATATTATCAGGGGCCCGGGAACGATTTTCAAGTTGGGGGGGGGGGGGGGCGAGCCCAAAATACCTGACATGATGCATATAAAACAGTGGCATAGCTAGGGGTGTAAAGGGACACGTTTCCCCTCCCCCATCGGGTTCAAAGGGACCCTTGGGTCCGAGAGGCCCTGCGGCGCCATTTGACCGCTGAGGGTTAACGATGGCCATATTTCTACTCAGAAGGGCCCCGTGGGGCTCTTTAGAGCACCTCATGGGCCCTAAATAGCCACACTAAGGTCTCCATAAGGGCCCCACGCCGACTTCTGAGGGCCTCTTGCGGCTTTTAAGGACACCTCGGTGGTCTCCAAAGGCCCGTTAAGCCTGAAACAGACTCTTTCCGCAGTCAGGAAATCGCATGCGAGAGCCTTTTCAAATAGATGGAAGCACGCTCGCATCAATCGCACGCACCTCCCGCGAGCGATTGATGCGAGAGGAATTACAATGTTTTTGAATAGGCTCTCGCATGCGATTTCCTGAACGCGGAAAGAGTCTGCTTCAGCCTTTACTGGCCTCTGAGAGGTCTTACCGGCCAATGAGGGAAAGTTCTAGGGGCATTTCCCACCTGTGATGGTCCCACACTTATTTTTCTGAGGGCCCCATAACGGCAACTATGGGGCCCTCGTCGGTGCCTATGAGGGCCCACACCGGTGTCTCTGAGGGTTTCACACCCCCAACTCCGAGTGCCTACACCAGTGCCTATTAAAGCCCTATATCGGCGGCTCTGAGGACCCACCCAACACCTGCGCATCTAAAGGCCACCCACTGATGACTTGAGGGCCCCACAACGGTGACCCTGAGGGCCCCACCGGCGTCTGACAGTACCATGTCGGTCTCTTAGGACCCCGCAGGACTTCTTCTGCCGGCCTAATAAGGACCCCTTGCCGGTCACTGAGACCCCCTGCCGGCTTGTAGAGAGTTCGCGTCAGCAGCTCTAAAGGCCCCACACCCGTCTGTAACGGCTCTACACCAGCGTCTATGAGGGCCCGGAGCAACGCCTGTAAGGACCCTCATCGGCGCCTCTGAGAGAATCACACTAGCACCTCTGATCGCCCACACCGGCACCTGCATGGCGGCCCCACACCGGTGCCTCCCTTACCGGCGGCTCTGAGGGCCCTACGCCGGTGATTCTGAGGGTGCCACCGATAACTGAAGGCACCACACAAGCCCTTAGTGTAGCTGAGCTTTAATCCCATACCGGCCCTCCGAGGGCGCCACGTCAGTGCACTCATTGCCCCACACCCCTCCCTCACACCCGGAGCGGGTAAACTGTGTTATACCTATGGCAACGATTTTACCACCGTTGTACGTTATGTATTTCTCAAAGTTGACTCAAAATGGTCCAGTACAAAATCTGGCCTGCCAAACTTATGGCCAGGGTCAGGCCCAAACACGTTTTGGGCAATCAGTCTCAGTCCATGACTCCATTCTTCGGCAACTACGGTGCAAGGCCGATACTGTAGAAACTTGCAATTTGTACCCTTGACCTGACATTGACCTTGACCTCAAACTTTAAATTAAGTGCATGTTTTTAGTTATTCGTGATGAGATCTTTCGATTGGCGTTTGAATTTTCCAAATCCGACCAATAGTTCGGGAGATAACAGGGGGGTAAAATTTATTCCCCCCCCCCCCCAGCCCCGCGCGTTCGGCTGGAGAGTGGAGACCCCAGCCCCGCGCGGGTTAATGCATTGGGTGAGCCAAAATTGTTTTACAGTGGCGCTATTAAAACAAGCTCTCGAACCGATTTAACATCATTTCTTGCATGATGCCTGATGGCTACAGTAAAAAAGAACAGCTAAAAAAACTACAAAAACTATGGAATGCCTTTCTGAAAGGTATTGAGCACCCCCAATGATTTTTGGAAAACTACACCCATGGGTCCGAGATCCAGTGAACGTGAACCAACCGTGCAGATGAGAAAAGAGTTGAGCTATTCATGTTCGGAACGGACGATTAGAGCGGGAACATCCATGCTCGGGACAGATGTTTGACTTGTTCCAAGCTTATAACTCCAAATCATGCCCCTTCTATAACTTGTTCCTCTCCTGCCTCTTCCCGCTCATATATCATATTCTACACGATCTTCAACATGATGTGGCAGTTCCACTTATCTGTGGATTGTCAACTTTCGTTTCGCTCACGAAGGCACAGGGTGTAAATCAATCTATGCATATTGGGTGGACGATTTTCTCCGTCTCCTGACGTGTGCAGAAGTGGAGCATGACGTGTCCCCTCAGCTGCAACACAGCTGCAGTCTGGGGGCGTGAGGGGGCGTTCTTGAAGGTCTATCGACGGTCGCCTGAAGGTCGTGTGCCCACTGCCTGCGGCAAGGGGCCTCCTCAGGGTCACCAGGGTCTTGGAGGGTTATATGTAGTGCAGATTTGCGGTCATCTGTTTGTCACCGCTAACGTCCATTCTGTCTTGTACTGTTGGTTAACTCGGGGATTCGAATTTATTTTCGAGGATCAATTTCGTCAATTTCGAGCCAATTTCGAGGATCTGTCTTGTAAAATGTACGATTTATAGTAGCGCTCGACGATTCGACTGGACCGTTGGGATATCCCCAGCTGCCGTCCTATGGTGTTACTTTTATCGTCTCGTCTCTCCCACCATCACCATTACTGTCATAATTACCGATATTACGGCCGTTAGCCGGCGACTTCTCGGCGGGGACCGTGACCAAAGAAGTGCTGGTCGTTTCCCACAGTACTCGTATAGGCCAGACAGGGAAAAACGCTCTAGGGTATGTTTGAAGCCGTTACCGGCTGGTATCTTCTCCAAAATACTGGGGTTTCTGTCTTTTCTGGCCATCCCCGTTGATCTGCGCCTTCGACAGCGCAGCGCACATGTGACACGACAGTGAGATGGGCAGAGGAGAGAGAGAGAGAGAGAGAGAGAGAGAGAGAGAGAGAGAGAGAGAGAGAGAGAGAGAGAGAGAGAGAGAGAGAGAGAGAGAGGAGAGAGAGAGAGAGAAAGAGAGAGAGAGAGAGAGAGAGAGAGAGAGAGAGAGAGAGAGAGAGAGAGAGAGAGAGAGAGAGAGAGAGAGCTGCGACCAACCTGGAAAGCTTTGCCGTCATCCGTGGGCGTATGACGTCACTGCACATATATACTGATGACGTCACCGTATGTGTGCATGGCGACTGAGCCAATGACGATTTTGGCCGTCAGAGATGTTGGCCGAGCTCTCAGTAGACGGCCGCTGTGTGTTCGGCGAAAAGACGGTGGGACAGATTGGTCGGCGGACGTGACACGTTGCATTGCCATGGGCGAGCTCTCCCGGGCCTCAGGGCCTCAGGGGTGATTGCAGGAGACAAATCAGGATGTAGCATAAAATGATCAAATGGTCGTTTAAGACCCTCGCATCGTGAATAGACCCATACGAAAAATTGAACCTTCAGTGCGATCCGGGACATATTACGTGCCAGTGTCTGAAGGAAGCTACCTACCAAAGTTCTCTTTTCCGTCGGCAGCGAAAGCTTGTTACATAATGACGAAGCTCTGCTAAGGTCACCGACGCTGATGAGTCCATGTCCCCATAGACTCATCCAGACGGCCTTCCGGAAGGGTGCCGAGGTCGTGTCGCCCGGGATCGTCTCCGTCCACCACTCGTGAGCTGGCCGTATTGATCGTTCGTAGCGCTTCCGGCCGGCCCGGCGCCGCGGTCGGCAGGGTATTTCGGGAGCTGACGCCGCCTGCTGGACCGTTAGTGTCTGCTGAGGACGGCCTGTCTCTGTGCATCACCGAGGTAGAGAAGCACTAGACCGTGAGGGTGCTGCTGCGATTCAAACTGCTAGTTATGTGCTATGCTGAAGCCTGGTAGTTGTAACCGTTTTGACTTGGAGGCTAGGTAACTTGACCTTGTCTTGAGAGTTGATACGGCGTCGTTGAGCGAAAATGCCGAGTACGGGCAGATCAGGGAGGATTCATTACCCTCTGCATTGTTTGTATTTGCATTTTTATTTGAATATAACCGGCAGCGGTTGTCGTATTGTATGGATAATGGCACGTCCGTGCCTGCAATGCCACACTACAGATCCCTATCAGAGGCAACATCAGAAGGCCATCAACGTCCATATCCGCGAGCCTCGCAGCCGCGTCTGCTCACCGCGGGTTTCCCACAGACACACAGCAGCCTTTTCTTTCTCATATCCCCGGAGCACTCGGCCAGTTTCCGTGCCCCGGCGCCGCGCTCGGCCGCTACCGTCTGATCCTTTGTACCGACTCCCTCCCAGTCCCCACGCACTGGCCGGCTGGTCGGCGCCGCTGTGTCGACTCTATTGTGGTTCCCGCGCGCGTCAGAGGTGGATGGGACTAGCGGTGCGGTACGCTGCTCTCGCGACGCGCAGTCTGCGCCGACCGCTCGCGCAGGAGACGGCGGCGGCCATCTGGGGGATGACGCGACTTGGCTCTCTGGAGTCAGACCGAGCCCTTGAGGATAGTCAGCCTGTTTGAGGGGATTAACGTCGCCGAGTACCGTATTTGGAGGGAAGGGGCAGCGATTCGGGGCTCCTGGTCAGATACAGATGCTAAGCAGAAGGGTTACGTAATCCTGTCGTAGTCTGACGATCCGCATATGGTCGAGTGGATGGGAACGGAGAGAGACGAGCATCAGTGATTCGTGGGACGGAAGGGACCGAATAAGGCCATGCAGC